TTTTTGCTTGTGTGTGTGTGGTGTGCGTGTGTGTGTGTGTGTGTGTGTGTGTGTTTGTGTGTGTGTGTGTGTGTGTGTGTGTGTGTGTGTGTGTGTGTACATACTGTAAGTATATTATTATTACAATATAACCAGTGCTGCGATGGAATTTTGTATGCAAACAACCGCTATAGGTTCATGGCTTCTTTTTTGTCGTTGACTTCTCTCCTCCACGCACACACGCGCACAAACACATACACACGCGCGCGCACGCGTGCATGCGAACGCACACATGTATATGCACAGAAACACTCATACGCGCACGCACACACACATAGGTACACGCGCACACAACGCGCAATTTTATTATTTAAAATGAAGGAAATAATGGTGATATTAAATAACATCTAAACGTTACAGGAACAACAGTAGCAATTAAACTCTGCCTCGTGTTTGCGACTGAAAGGCGTTTATATATTAAAAGATTCAACCTAGCATTATCCTCTTCGAATCTATCCATCCCATGATTTCATCGATACCCACTATTTATTATTATATTTCCATATTTATATTCTAGTTAAAACGCCAATTAATTTACATGTTAGATGAAATTGATCAGACGCAATCAACCCGAAATATATTCCCGCGATGTGTTACTCAGTAGGAAATTATTCTAGGATAGTTAAATATTCATGAGACTCTAGCCATTGGCTCTTTTTTAAATGAAATATATTCCCAAGCTGTTACACAATAGGAATTTATTCATGGATGGTTAAAAATATTGAACCTCTGGCCGGCGGTCTGTTTTTTAAATCAAAATTCAGATTTCAGCATAATGCGCGCATAGAAGTCTTCCGCGATCAACGAAAGATTGGGAGAGCATTACACTGCAGCTTTGACATCAAAGATACTTCCAGTTTCCAGTTAATTCACTATCGGACGAAGTTACAACAATCCTACCAGAATTGAGAAGCAACAATCACTATATATATATATGCTTTTATTCACTCCTGTTCCTATATATAAAAAATAAAATTAATCACCGGCAAAATAGTTACCACTATTCCAGGTCATGACAAACTATCTAATTTTATATTGACACCATTTACAACATTTTAATCGGGGACAAGGTCTCTGTACGCGTGCGTGCACACATCGGGGGGCATGTCAATGTAGATACATTTGAGAAAATTGCCAAAGTTACTGTGTATCTCACAGACCGTGAAACTGAGCACATAAATAAATTATTTACAGGGACGCAACTGCTATTGGCCGTTGCGCGTAAAGTTGGCAAAGCTCCGTATGCCACACAAACTAGAATCGTGGGTTGCATGATGCAGTAAAACGTTTCTTTGTCAATTTTTACGGCTACAAACCGCGAACGTTCACTCGGTATGACGCACTATGCAGTGTGCTGACCGCGAACAAAGCGCGAACCAATCACAGAGCAGGCTGCACCACATAAATCGTTTGGCAGCTGCTTGCGGCTACATGTAAAAGCAGACGTGGAGCGGATTCCCTGTACGAAACGTATTCGTCGTGGCGAAGTATATTTTGTAATACGCGAGCATCCAGGCAACATAATCAACTGAAGAATTGCTATAATAATGGCTTTTTATTCGACCCATCTCGTTGCTATTTTTATCATCCGTAATATCGCCACAATATCAGTGCCTACGGTTCTCATCTATTCAGGTCTATTCACGCATACGTTGTAATCACTATCATCGTCTTCATGCCACAATAAATAATAGTAAAGACGGCAAAAAACAACGACAACAACAATAAACGCAGAATACTTACATACATAATAACTGAATGATTTATAGCGTCAGGAACCAAGTGCCGTAGTACGAGCAAAACAAAACCGTTCCGTTTCGCCTTTTATAGTAATTCAAAATGCCTGCGAAGTGTGCATGTTGTCAACAGAGAGCAATATTAAAGAGGCCAAAAACGGTAAGTTTTGCCACTTATATTTACACCTCGAAGTTAGATTGGTAAACAGAGTGTATAGGAGTTGGTAAGTAATGTAATTTGCGACGTAAGGAAGAGATCTACTATATATTTACCCAGATCGACAGCACTTCGTGTACAGCATACACAGCCATAGTGCTGGGACCATGTATGATGTACTGAGGAGTGAGTCTGTAGACTGTAGCTCTGCCAGTGTTCTGTGTTGTACGATTATCCTACTCGTGTAGATAAGTGATGTTGCTCCTGTTGCTGTACACCTCGCCTGTGATACCACCTTAACCCTATGCTGTTTTAATGCATTGCTAATTTGTTATGGCAGATAGCATGTGCGTATGGTACCACTAGATACAATAATGTAACCCAAACCCAAGAGGATAGGGTTACAAAGCCTCCCTATCCTTTTGTGCGGAGGAATGCCTGAGTGAATCACTCGGGCCGGTTTGCTGGTGCGTTTTCAGAGACTAGAACTTCCAAACTGGGTTTATTCTCAACACGAACCTTTCTCCGCTATCTGGGAATTTACTATGTATCGCAATACTCTGTATTAAACTAATATAACCTGTTACAAAAATTCGAAGTGACGAGCGGCGAATATACTGAGCGCCATTTCTGTTGACCTGTGACGTACTTCGGTTTGAAGAGCGGATTCACCGACCAATCGGAGGGCGCTGCGTTTGCCGATCGCTATGCGCATTGGGAAATGCGTACGTCACAGGTCAACAGAAATGGCGCTCAGTATATTCGCCGCTCGTCACTTCGAATTTTTGTAACAGGTTATATTAGTTTAATACAGAGTATTGCGATACATAGTAAGTTCCCAGATAGCGGAGAAAGGTTCGTGTTGAGAATAAACCCAGTTTGGAAGTTCTAGTCTCTGAAAACGCACCAGCAAACCGGCCCGAGTGATTCACTCGGGCATTCCTCCGCACAAAAGGATAGGGAGGCTTTGTAACCCTATCCTCTTGGGTTTGGGTTACATTATTGTATCTAGGTAGTAACTAGTATGGCTGAGAGGGTCTATTTCCCCTCCGGGTACTATCGGAGGTAGACCGAATAATTCTGTCCCATATAACCTTTTTTATATTTTGGTGAGGGTTATTGGGACAGAACGGGGTGCATTGAAATTTCGTGAGATCGCATGAAAAATGCATGCGCTGCTAATGCGGCCCGTACGCCTCTATTGGCGCGGAAAAAAAACCTACCGTTTCCTTCTACATGACTTTACCTTGCTACTGATATGTGTATACATTCACTTCAATCGTTTTTCATTTCTTAAAAGATTGTTTTTCAAAAACCCCGCTTCATTTAACTTTAGTAAGTTACGTTTGCCATTTACAAACAATCAGACCAATCAGAGCGAGTCTATCACGCCTCCTGCAGCGCCACAGATACAAGCGAGAACCAGGGGCTATTGTAAGACTCGCTCTGATTGGTCAGATTGTTTGTAAATGGCGAACGTAATTTACTAAAGTTAAATGAAGCGGGGTTTCTGAGAAACAATCTTTTAAGAAGTGAATAACGATTGAAATGAATGTATACACATATCAGTAGCAAGGTAAAGCCATGTAGAAGGGAACGGTAGGTTTTTTTTCCGCGCCAATAGCGGCGTACGGGCCGCATTAGCAGCGCATGCATTTTTCATGCGATCTCACGAAATTTCAATGAACCCCGTTCTGTCCCAATAACCCTCACCAAAATATAAAAAAGGTTATATGGGACAGAATTATTCGGTCTATATCGGAGGGTACCCTGGGTACGGTTTGATATATCGGAACGTACTCTGGTACTATCTAATATGCCGAACCATACCTCGCCTACTCCACTAACGAGTCTAGGGAGTCGCCTACGCCTACTTCCTAACCCTAACCCTAACTCTAACCATATCAGATAGTTACCACGGTACGTTCCGATATATCGAACCGTACCCAGGGTACCCTCCGATAGTACCCTGGGTGCATGCATTTTTCATGCGATCTCACGAAATTTCAATGAACCCCGTTCTGTCCCAATAACCCTCACCAAAATATAAAAAAGGTTATATGGGACAGAATTATTCGGTCTATATCGGAGGGTACCCTGGGTACGGTTTGATATATCGGAACGTACTCTGGTACTATCTAATATGCCGAACCATACCTCGCCTACTCCACTAACGAGTCTAGGGAGTCGCCTACGCCTACTTCCTAACCCTAACCCTAACTCTAACCATATCAGATAGTTACCACGGTACGTTCCGATATATCGAACCGTACCCAGGGTACGTTCCGGCAGTACCCTGGGGGACATAGACCCTAGCTCAGCGATAGGATAGGATGATGTTTATTACTGGACATGCTCTCTATCCTTGAGCCGTTGCAGCTCGAACAGTAACATCTGTCTGCTGTTGTTAGCTGTAGCAGTTCTTTGCCTCTATTGTGTAATGCAGGGAAATCAAGGTGATTGTGCCAGAGTTATGCTGTGCTGAGTGAGAGAGGGAGAAACTCGGCGAGTGCACAGTCTTAGTAAAAAATAGAAAACAGAAAAGTTGGCAGTGATATCGCCTATCTTGAAATGCGAATATGAATGTAACACGAAATCAGCCTCATCTGGCATTCACACGTGGGTCTGAATTGAATTCATACCCATGTTTAAATTACCCTCACCTATCTTAAAGTTATCCACAGGTGACTAAATGATACCTAGTAGGCAGGGAAAAAATATCTTTTTGTTCACGGGAGCTCTTTTTCAAAAGTCTGTGGAAAAAATAGCTTTCGTCAAAAATTTTATGGGAGCTATTTTGAGCCTCACGGGAGCGATTTCGGAGGTTTGAAAAGCGAATCGCTCATCGCTCCCGTATATTTTTTTACCCTGCTAGTAGATCATTCATATGATACCTAGTGGCACTCTGTAGGTACTATTTCTCGGGGGCTACTTTTCAAGCTCGCGTCCATAAAAATAGCACTCTAAAATTTGGTTTGCATTAAACTCTATGCACATTTACGGGGGCTCTTTTTGGCATTTCGGGGGCTAAATCGCCCTGAGCTCCCGTGTATTTTTTTCACTGCTACAGAGATGGTACAGCAATATTGCCCCAACTTCTTCTCTCTTCTGCCGCCAGCCCACACAGTGTTCACGCTCATTGCCAACTAATTTCTGTTTTCTATTTTTTGCAGATGAACGCAGCGGTCAGGCTGTCGTGCGATCAAAACTAAGTTTGCACGTGTGTAAAGCCGCAGGGGGACGAATGCGGGATATACCGTGAATCGCTGAATTAACCTTCGCCGTAACCCGGAAAACTGAACTGCTTTGCGCGGACTGAGGTCCCTGAAAACCCTGAAGTTAGTAGTGAAACTCTACAGAGAAATTGAGCTACTGTGAATCTAAAGTACTACATAACACTACTGAGAAACTAAACTACTGAGAAGTTCTGCATCGGCCACGTCAATTCTGCAATCCAGATTCTCGCACAAAAAAAACTTCGAACGACTTGTCGAAAAGCAGGCCACCCAGAAAACCGTGAAGTACTGAATATCTACTGAAAGTTTAACCTGCTGACGATCTGAAAAGAGGAACTGGTGCCTCGCGTCGTTTTGCGTCGTTACCGCGGTTATAACCGTACGTAACATTGCATTCCGGACAGTAGTGTAACCCGTTCATCTGTTGTCATTTCGTAACCGACGAAACCCGCGCTAACAATCTCCGAGGCGTCGCGGCATCGCGCATCCCTGACCCGTCCGCCGACCCGTCATGGCCGACGCGTTCCCGGCGCTCGACGACTCGCGACCCGACCTCGACCCCGACCTTGACCCCGACGAGGACGACGACGAGGAGGAGGAGCAGATGACGGCGGCAGAGGTCGCCGCGCGGCTGGAGCGCGCGTGGACGGACGAGCGATTCGCGCCGACGCTGCTCCCGCCGCGGCCCGAGATCGTCGACTGCATCCTCGACCAGCTCGCCGCCGTCGACGAAAACGTCCGCCAGAGGGCGCCCCGCGGCGGCGGCGGAGACGGAGGGCTGCGCGTCGTAGCGCATCGCGCCGAGGCCGACCGACTACGATTCGTCGTCGCCGCCTACCTCCGCGAACGCCTCGCCAAGGTCGAGCTACACGGGCGCCACCTGCTGGCCGGCGACGACGACGACGACGCGGCGCGGCGCATGACGGACGAGGAGGCGACGTACGCTCGCGAGTTCGCCGACGGCGTCGACGCGCACGCCCGCCAGGTGGCGCTGCGGCACGTGCCGCCGAACCTGCAGGCGGCGGAGGCGCGGCAGGCGGCGGCGCCGAACAAGAGAGCGTACGTGTTCCTGCGCGTGAACGAGCGGGTAGATGGCGTGGAGGTGGAGGCTGGAGGCGGGGAGACAGAGGTCGTGACCTTGGAGCGCGGGTCGCAGCACGTGATGCAGTACGCGGCCATCGCCGACCTGGTGGAGAGCGGCGTCGTCTCGCTCATCTAGTGGCGCCCCCTACGGAGCAGCAGTGGCGCCCCCTACAGAGCAGCAGTGGTGCTTAACTCACTGATTTAACAGCGCACCTTACGGAGCAGTAGCGGCGCCCCCTACAAAGCAACAGTGGCGGCATCTATGAGTTGCCGATTTCGTGCGGTGCGATGCCATCTTGTTCATGTAACATCGCAGCTTACTGAGTGATATTGGCGCCCCCTACTTAGTGCCAACTGAGTAGCAGAGAGCAACGCACGCTACCGAGCGATACTTGCTGATCGATTGTTTGTTTACGGCTGCGGATGTACATGACAAACGAACTCGGTGACTTTGTAATGATGTGATCATTTGATGACAAGTTATTAGTAATGATTGATAATATTACTATGTTAGGCCACCCTTAAAAAATTGTTTGTTTCCCTTTTACCTACTCGACTCTCAGGTTACCGAGTAGGTAGGTAGGTAAAAAATGTTTTTTATTTTATTTTGACAAGATGTGTGTATGTATATTCTGTTTTGTGTATATGTTTTTGCGGAACGAATTTGATTTTTTTTTGGTGAAATGAAATAATTTTTGTTTTGTTTTAATCGGCCAATAAAATGTGTCGCGTAGCGGCGTTTTGGCGAGTCGGTCGGTAAAGGGGAAACGAGCAATATTTTATCTTAGGCCTTACTATGTTATCAATTCGTGGACCACACGTCACGGCCATGAGCTGCGAAACATTACGCGCGCACTATACATTTTTTTAAATTTCTTCCTTGTTCGATCTCGTCGGTCGAAAACGATGGCTCGAGTAACCGAAACCCCAAGCGCCCTCTGGTGTCAGCCTCACGGCAGTGTAATGCCGTCGCTCATTTCCCGGAACGTCCATAGAAAGTCTCGGTGCGTGATATATTTTTGTACCTGTTTTTCTGCGATATAAATTGCATTTCCAAAAAAAACTCGTGGTGCTGTGTTTTGTTTGTTCTCTTCGTCGTTGAATGCCGACCCTCCACCGCGCGGCATTGTTCCGACACCAGGTGTCAGCAACGGCAGCGACAATCTACTAACTATTCAACCAACGGTCGTGAGCTGAAAAACAGTGAAAACCGCGAAGCAATCGCGTTTTTGGATGTGATCGGAGTTTATTTCGTTTGTGGATGGGTCTATTGCGTTCTTTATTTCCTCGTGATCTGTCGATGTATAGGCTGAGAAAGAGACATATACAGTATTTTATTTTTCTATATTATAATTTTCCATATATATATATATATATCTATTATATCAAGAGCTAATAAACACGTGTTTATTAGATCTTGATTATATGCATATATATATTTCAATGTTTATTTAAACATTCACACAGTGGGGTGAGATGGTCTAGTGTGAATGAAGGCATACATTAAATTCTCACTCTCTCTCTTTCTTATCATTAACATTCGTATCTGATGAGAAAAGTGGACACTAGTAAAAGAGAACATTTACACTTAGAGTTAGACAGACGCCGCAATCGCTGTGCCTTCACAAATCAATCACTAAGAACTACCTCGATTTTCTTCTAAAATATAAGCCTTGATATATATCCTCTGTGATGATACAACGTCATTAAATATATGTACTATAATATAATAACCATTGTCTCCTGGCACCTCTAGAAGATGCAGGGAATTGGTACTCGTTACTGAGCGTCCTGAAGCTACCTATAGATGTAGCTATGTATACGAATATCTCTCTCTCTCTCTCTCTCTCTCTCTCTCTCTCTCTCT